ACTTTTTCGTTGGATGTAAATCAGACAAAAATATATTATAGGTGAAGAGGTGAGATTTCACCTGTTTTCTCACCTGTTTTTTCACCTCTTGAATTTTCGTGAATTTCCTTAAGATAGAAAAAATAAAGTTAGTTTTATTTTTATTTATTTTTTATTTTGTATAAAAGATATGATTTCAACAATCGGCACAACAACAATTCAAGCCGCGAACGGCGGGACTCTGTCCACAACAACTTCACCAAACTCGTTAGTCATGAATCCAACATCTATGTTAGTAGAGATGGAAAGCTTCATTCCTTCTTCATTTACTTTCGAAACAGAAATACAAAAAATTAAGCAGGAACTTTTAACAAGTAATTTAGACTGTAGTGCGAAAGATGAAACAAATGAACAGTATCTTTATGAAATGGAGGACCTCATCGACCATTTACCTAAACTACCTGAAATTCAGCATCAAAAACTAACTATTCCTGAATTCGACGAAATTGAAGTCAAAGCAACTGACTCAGTAGAAATAAAGAAGTTCATACGTAAAGTAAATTATGAATTCCTTGGTTTTCATTGCAACCATAAAGTTATGGACAAAGATTGCGATATGGTATATAAGAATGTTTCTGACATATATAAATCTGAAGAATTTAAGACCTACGACAACTTTGTTTCGTTAGTTGCTGAATGTGTTTGGGAAATAAGAGATAAAGATAGAAGAGGCAAAGTATGGAACGAACAACTAAGACCCGCTATGTTTGAGATGAAGAGAGCAATTGACGCTTTAGTTGTTCTAGCAGGTCAAATTTCAATGTATAATGCAAAAATGAACCCACAATGTTCAAAATGTAAAGCAGCAATAAGGAAATATAACTACTCCGTCAAAGAGATAGAAAGAATGCGAAACGACTATGCAGACTTAAAGAAAGAAGCAGAAAAGCCAGCAGAAGATAAAATGGACATGTTAGCATTTCTGAACAAAAACTATCCAACAGTAGAAGATTTCCTTCTATCTGACGTCAAGAAGAAATATAAAGAGACTTTCGGCATTGTTAAAACTTTTGATATCCTCAGCGAAGAAATAGAAGCTACAAAACTGTTTAGGATTTCAAATATACATCGTACAATTCATGTAAAACGCTTGTGAAAAAAAGAGGTGAAAAATTAGGTGAAAAAAGAGGTGAAATCTCACCTCTTCACCTAAATTATATTTTTGGTCATTTACACTCATTTACGAAGAAGTCATGACAAAGCATTTACGATGAAATCTTGACAAGGCATTTACGAAGAAGTTATGACAAAGCATTTACGAAGAAGTTATGACAAAGCATTTACGAAGAAGTTATGACAAAGCATTTACGAAGAAGTTATGACAAAGTCATGAGGGTGAAAAATTAGGTGAAAAAAGAGGTGAAATCTCACCTCTTCACCTAAATTATATTTTTGGTCAAAGCTTCCACGAGAGAAAAGATTCCTCATTTGCTAAGGATTCCAAAAATGAAAAAATCGTTGATTTCGGCTGAGAAAAAACGGCAAAAACCCTTCTTCCACGGGAACAAAGAAATAAAGAAGAAATAAAGTAAATTTTTTTTTATTCCCGTGGAAGATAGAGCACTTTTATGACACTTTTTATTCACGACAAACAAGACAAATAAAGAAAATAAGAAAATACGGCGCTGTCGCGGTTCGAACCACAGACCCTGACCCCTCCATAACACCACCTTAGACCACTGTGCTACGTAGCCTGTCGACATAAGATTTTATAAATTGCATATTTGACGTAAATTTATTTCCATCTGGCTTCCCACTGCATAAGATATTCATACGTGTTTGTAAGACATTCATTAAACTTCTTTTCTATTGCATCTAATCTTGCGTTATTTTTTTCAATAACTTGTCTGTATTCTTCATCATCTCCAGCAGTGTTTGGGTCTTCACGTTTAAAATATTCATTGTTAACCAATTTTTTATCTACAAATTTTATTAGTGTTTGATTCACTTCGTTATGATAACGGTCATATTCTTTCAATACGTAAGTGAAGACAAAATGCGTCGTACCTTCAATCTTAAAGCTTAAAGAACTTTCAACACAGTTTTGAGGGTCTGTCAGTGCGTCAATGAGATAGTATTCGAAGTCAGTCAATAATCTTTTTAAAGTCATTTCATACAGGATAAAATTTAATGTTGTGAAGAAATAGTGTTTATCTCAAAAAAAATAAAGTTAGTTTTTATTTTATTTATTTTTTTATCCTGTATGTAAAGACAGATATGTCAACATTAGAGAACACAACAACTGCTATCGTTCATGAAGTCATAAATGAAGAATACGAATACATACAGTATAACAAACAATTGAGACTCATTCGTTCTGTCAAAGACGACATGTACCAAATGCAAAGTATTTTGACGGCTTGTTTTGCTCCAGATACTAAGCTTCCTAAAGACTGGTTTAGGAACCAAAGCACCATAGAACTATTAAGTGAAGCACAGCGAGACGTACTTTTTTCTGAAAACAGTGAAGAACAGCGAGTAGGTAAAAAATCCCAGTCGCCAAAACTCTATGAAAACCGTGAAAAATTGCCAAACGGTTTGAGAGGATATTATGTTCATAGACTTTTAGTAAATGCAGTTGCAATGTGGGCTTCACCACGTTATGCTTGGAATATTTACAAACTTCTTGACGAACTTCACAGACAAGAACGTGGAGAGATGGAAAAGAAACTTCAAGCAAAAGATGAAGTCATTGAATCCAAAGACAAAAGCATACAGAAAAGAATACCGCGTTCAGTACCAAAAGGAAAGGAAAAGAACTATAAGTATATGATTTATACTGAAGAGTTGGAGAATGAAGAAGACAGAGATATGGTTATGTTGCATTTAGTCAGAAGAAACAACAAAAGCTTTTACGACCTTGCTAAAATATATAAATCTGACAGAAACTGGTTCTATCGTGAAAACTTACCGATTTCAATGACACCGAATGAGCAAATAAAAGAAATTGTCAAAAATACTCTTCCTCAAACACACTATGACATCAAAGGTTGCACAATACTTACCTTCAAAGAAGACTTACCATTACTGAAGGAAAAAATAACAGAATATTTCGATAACTTCAAAGAGGAAGAATGAAGTCACGACAACATTAACGAAGAAGTCACGACAACATTAACGAAGAGAGAATGAGGTGAAAAAACAGGTGAAATCTCACCTCTTCACCAAAAATATATTTTTGGTTAAATAGCTTCAGGGTCAATTTCTTCAACCATTTCACTTCCTTCGTCAATGTCAATAGAAGCTTCTTCAACCTTTGGTAAGAACTTTTGTATAACATCTTTGTTCGTTATTGTCTTCAGAGATGAAGGATAATATTTCACATTTGTTTCACCCTTCTTATATTCTTTCTGTTCGGAAAGATTTAAAGCAATACTGAAGAAGTCAATGTTGGAGTTCTTTATAACAGTATAATGAGTATCTTTGACATTCACGAAGAAACCCTTTTGTTTCAAAACTACTGCTAACTCTTGTGAAGTATAACGTTTGCGGTCAATGACAATAGCTAATGGTCTGACATACTGACCGAACTTAGATTCTTTCACAAACTTCTTGTTAAAGATAACATTAACGTTTGAAGCACCATTGAACTCATTCTTGATGGCAGTAGCGAGAGCATTGTATGAAAAGAACTTGCAATCTTGCATGTGTTTCATTAAAATAAAAATATTAAATTATTTTGAAAAATAACTTAAAAAAATCTAATCTAATTTTTTTCAAAAATATTTTTTTATTTCCTACTAAAGATGTATCGGAAGTTGTCTAAGTTAGAACACTCGGAAATAAAACAACTTCTTACAGAAGCTAATATAGATGTTGCAAAACATTACGCACAAACAAAAAAGCACTCGCTGACTTCATGACTATAATGGTGCAATAAGTTATGATAGAATTCATGAGTTCATAAAGCCGCAACGCGGCGAGGACGAAGTCCATGCAAGAGCATTTCCTTTAAATGACATTGCTATTGACTTATATCATAGACGTTCAGTACCTCATGAAGTAAGAAGAGAAATGTTTGACATAACAAATGCAACGTTGGTCATACTCGTAAAGCTCTTTCGCATGATGTTCGTCAAGAGATGTTTGACATAACAAATGCAAACGTTGGTGAAACAAGAAGAGCTGTACCTCATGAAGTAAGAAGAGAAATGTTTGACATAACAAATGCAAACGTTGGTGAAACACGAAAGAGAGATGACACACTGAAACAACAGAGAAGAGAGATGTTTAAAAGTGCTATAGAACAAGTTCGCAAAGCTAATAATGTCATTCGTTCCATTGACGACAAACCAAAAGAAGGTGAGAGATGGTTAAAGAAAGATGAAGAGAATAGGAAGAGAATGTGAAGTCAGGCAATAGACTCATTGACTTTAACATCGAAGCTTTAGATGAACCAAACAGAGACTACTTACACAAACATTTCGGTAAGGTTTTCATGAGACTCTTAGAGAAAATTAAAATAAACTCCCAACAGAGATGGATGGTATGTTATAAACTTGGTGGAAAGTATGAATGTTCTACGTTAAACCTCAATAATATTGGAACATTACTACATCAGCTCTTGAAGGAGAACTTTATATCAGAGATAGAAGCAAATGCTGCAGGTATTGTTGAAATGCACTATGACTTCTTCTTGACAAACATAAAGAATCTTACCGAAATAAAGATGTATGATTTAACAGAATATGAAGGCTTAACGATGTCAGATGTAAAGAAAGGCAAACCAAAAAAGAGACCATATAGAGATGAAAGCACACTGACAAATGACCAGAAAGCCATTTTGGAAGCTCTTAAGCAAACAGGAAACCCAGCACTTATAGAAAGCTTTTGGAAAGATAATGGTGAAAAGAAGTTTTATAAGAAGAGAAGCGGTCAGTTCTGGAAGTATCTTTGCACATTACCTATAAATCTTGAACGCTACCAAATCTTCAATGAACTGAACAAAAGAACTGCAACTTATGACAGAGGACAATTGTTTCGTTTATGCTTGCATTCAGGCTGGAGTAAATGAAGAAACTATTGACCACATGAGAGAAGTCATTCGTGTTAGAGACTTTCCTCAAAGTAAAGTACAAGAAATTTCTGACGCAACAGGTATAGCATTTAATGTTACCATTGGTTATTTCAATGACTCAAGACATAATGAAATAAAGAGATATATACCAAAAGAATGCGAAACTGTTAGAACTATTGACTTACTTCTTGTTGAAGACCACTACATGCTAAATGAAAGACTTCCAATGACAACATACTTCATTCGAAACTATAAAGAAATTCTCAAAGCTTGTGGTGGAATGAACATTGAGAAACAGATGAAGATTTATACAAAGAGAGAAGATAAATATGTAGTTCGTTATGATAGAACAACACCGTTATGGGATGTTATGAAAACATTGTGGGAGTGCAAATATTTCGAACCTATTTCTTATGGAGAACTTTTCACATATACTACTGACTTATATAAACAGAACCTTGCACCATTTAAAGATTTGACATATGCTCCAAAGTATTGTGTACAACTGAAGAAGAAAGCAGAGTCAAAAGAAGTAAATAAAGCTAAATGTAAATTCATACCTGAGCACGTTTTCTTTGCTGACTTTGAGTGTAGTACGGATGGCTTTCATAAAGCTTTTAACATCTGTTATGACAGTGAAGATGGTTCAGTGAGTGAAAGCATTTGGGGTCAAAACTGTGCAACAGAATTTTTGGAAAGACTTCCTGACAAGAGTTTAATATATTTCCATAACCTCAGTTATGACATAAACTTCATCTTAAGACACATGACAGAAGTGAAAGGAACTCCCATCATTAAAGGTTCACGAACAATGCAAATAACTGGTTTATATAAAGGACGGGCAATTATTATAAAAGACTCTTACAGTGTTATAAATAAGAAGCTTAAACTATTTCCTGCTATGTTTAACTTACAAACAGGACCGAAAGAAGTATTTCCATATAACTACTACAGCAGTGTTTTGTTAGCAAATGACAACAGAACTGGTGTCATTTCTGAAGCATGTAAGTTTATCCATGATGCAGATACATTTATGAAGAACATAGATTCCATCAAAGGTTGCAGAATAGATGAAAACCACTTCGACTTAGAAAAATATAGCACGTTTTACTGCAAACAAGATGTAAGAATTTTAAGAGAAGGTTTTGTAAAGTTCCGCAATGACTTATTGAAAGAGTTTGATTTAAACGTTTATGACTACGTTAGTATTTGTTCTATTGCTAACAAATTGTTTGAGAACAGAGTATACTTCCCGAATGGAAATCTTTATGACCTCTCAAATAAACCAAGAGAATTTATTTCGAGATGCATTCAAGGTGGAAGATGTATGTTGTCAGATAACATGAAACAAAAGAGCAAAAAGAAACTCATTGCTGACTTCGACACTGTTTCATTATATCCTTCAGCTATAGCAAGACTTTATACTTTAGAAGGTATTCCAAAAGTATTGAAGGAAGAAATGTTAAACACAGAGTATCTCATGAGACATTTATTCGATGACGACCAAAAGGAACCCATTGGTGAAAAGTTTATGTCTGGCTTCTTTGTTCTCATTAAGATAACAGAGATTGGTATACCCAGACACTTTCATTTAATAGTTTGCGACCCTGAACTAAATCCAGAACTTAACGTTCCAAGAAGTTCAAACACTTGCTGTCTCATGTATGTTGACCATATAACATTACAAGACCTCATAAAATATCAAGGTGTCAAATGTGAAGTGTTGCAAGGATACTATTACGATGGAAACAGAGATATGAGAATAAGAGATGAAGTAAAGAAGTTGTTTGAGTTAAGGTTAAAGTATAAGAAAGAAGGAAACCCCTTACAAGAAATTATAAAACTCATTCTGAACAGCATTTATGGCAAAACTATTCTATCTCCTATTGAGTCAAAAATAACCATAGTAGATGACAAAGATGCTATAAGATATGCTATAAGAAATTACAACCATATAGTGAAGTTCGAAGGTTTGGATGAAATATTGGTTTACCGAATTAATTAAAATACATTTTTTGAACGCAGATAGTTTTTTACATCATCTGATTTGAAAGAACTTTCACAGTCAGATGTCAGTTTTGTTGGATGGTATTTGTCAACGAATATTGTCAAAGCAGTTTTCACATCTAAAATATTTTTGGACCATAATGGTATGGCTTCACAGTATCTTGTGTTTTGACCAACAAATATTAACCAGTATGGTGGTCCATCTTCTCTATACCTCGGAATGTTTTCCAAGATATCCATAACACAAGCATTTGGTGTTGAACTAAAGATTTTTATCATGAGTGCTTTCTTTGTTGCCTTAGAAACATAGGGTCCTTGTTTGGATTCGTCATTTTTTAACCCATAAGAAATGGGTTTATTTGGCGCATTAGCAGGAGTTGCATCCAGATTTTTGCCCGCAGTGGGAACAATAGCTAGAGGTGCATTTGGAATTGGAAGGAAGATTTTGAGTACATTAGGTATACTTAAAGAGAAAGCACAACCTATTATACAAACTGTACAGAAAGGTTGGGATGTAGCACGAGATGCAACAAATCTTATTCCAAATCCTGAAACAAGAGGAAAAGTTCAAGATGGATGGACCATTAG